ACGAAGCGTGTGAGGGGTGTGCCGAATTGTGTGTCTGTGTGTGTGTGACGCATGCGGGCGGTGGCACTGGGGCCATCGGTGGAGCTCCTTGTGGGGCCACGGAACATGTGAGGGCTGTGCCGAAATGGGTGTGCCGTGGCGCATGCTGGCGGTGGCACTGGGGCCTTCGGTGGAGCTCCTTGTGGGGCCACGAAACGTGTGAGGGGTGTGCCGAAATGGGTGTGCATGACGCGTGCGAGCGGTGGCACTGGCGCCTTCGGTGGAGCTCCCTATGGGGCCACGAAGCGTGTGGATCGAGCCGAATTTGGCGTGCGTGACGCATGCGGGCGGTGGCACTGGCGCCTTCGGTGGAGCTCCCTTTGGGGCCACGAAACGTGTGAGGGGCACTGGGGCCATCGGTGGAGCTCCTTGTGGAGCTCCCTATGGGGCCTCGAAACGTGTGAAGAACGAACGTAGAAACCGTGGCATGACGGCACATCGGCAACAGTGCGATCAGTCAAAGTGAAACGGCATATTGTCGAACAACGGTTTTCCACGTGTTCAAGCAGCCGCTGTCTCTACCCAGAGCGGCGGAAAGACGATGTTCGTCTCCTCCGACGGCCCTGAGCGTATGCATTCTGGCCTTGTGTCCCCGAGAGACTCTTGGACGCCCTCGTTTTCGCGCGCCGGCCGGTCGCGCCAGCTGCGTTGACGAAGGTGCGAAAATGGATCTACGAACAATGCTGGTGTCTGGCATTAATGCTACTCTTCCAAAGAGGCATACTTGCTTGGCAATCAACTGGTGTGCCAGCGGGCGCGCCGAGGAAATCTCCAAAATCCTTTGGTCGGACACTCTCGAGATCATGGGGTGCGGTATCCCCCAGATCTTTCTTAAACAAGAAACGTGGAATGAATTGATCCGAGAAAATTCCGCTTTGATCAGTCGTTCTGTGTCTAAGTTGTACAAGAGTTTGGAGACGACGCACGCCTCGTAAATCCTCTGCTTCCTACTCTTGCTCAGATAAGAATGGCTCAAGACTGCCTTCAAGATTGTGAATGTGCCCCTTGCCTCCCCCTGTCCTCGGGATACCGCGCATCTGGCGGAACCGCTGGTTGTCAGCAGGCCGCCGAGGTACACGTGTTGCTCTGCATCAGGAATGGGACGACCGATCGGATCCAGAATCGGCGCCGGGTTGCCGATGCGCAAGACAACAGTTTTGTCCCAATTTGGAAGCAAACCGGACGGGGCAGTTCGAGACAGCAGGCTATTCGGGGATGCCTGTAAGCAAGTAGATGATATACAAATCAAGGCGGTATAGTTAGCATACTCCCCGTCGTCTGTTTTGCAACCGCCCCGTTCCCAGTTCACATCTGCCATGATGACAGTCAGGACAATGAGGAACAAAGACGGGATAACGGGCAGCCTTGGGCAATCCCGGCTGCCTGCTGGCGGGCGCCAGATGCTGTTCCGGCGCCTCGCACTGCGAACGTTTTGCGTCCGTATACGGACGCGACCATGTCGATATAGGCCTCGGGGAGACCAAACTTGCGCAATGCCACTTGCATTGCTCCTGGGTCGATGCGGTCGAATGCTTTCGACCGATCCAGAAGTAATGCGGACGGTTCGCCGTCTCTCGAACGAAGGATTGCAAAAAAAAGATTGCAAACAAAAACACTTTTTTTTGCAATCGGTTTTTTTTTGCAATCCTTTTTTTGCAATCCTTCGAACGAAGGTTTTTTTTGTTTGCAATCCGTTGTTTTTTTTTTGCAATCCTTTTTTTGCAGTCCTGCGCTGCGTCCGTGATGCGCTGCGCGGCGAGGATGGCCAGGTCGGCGCCTCTGCCAGGACGGAAAAACCGAATGGATTGTCCCGGAGGCGAGTCTCGACTCCTCCAAATCGAAGCCGACGCAGAATCAAAGCGGCGAGAACCTCGTATCCTAATAACGATGCCAATCTTAGGGATCCCCTTATTTTTTGAGGGCGAATCCCTAAAATTGTCGTCGCCTTTTGGCGTGTCAATCTTGGGGATAGGGCCACTGCCAACAATGAAATAGGGCGGTAATTGGATGGCAGCGCTGGGTTGCCTTTCTTGAATATTGCAGACAGCGAAAAACAAGCCCAGGATTGAGGGATCGCCCACGCCTCCCAACATGAGTTCAATAGCTGAAGCAAGATTTGGAGAGAAGTGTCACTGCGGCCGTAGGTGGCCCAGCAGTCCGGCGGCACACTGTCAGGCCCTTTAGCCTATCCCCTCCGCAGTCGGGACAGTACTTTCTTCAGTCCCTGCTGGGAGAATTCAATGGTCGGAATATCTATCATCGGGCCCAATCGAGGCTCGGATGGCACGCCCTCCCCTGCGCCAGGAACTCTTGTCCACTGCACGTCTTGGAAGTAAATTGCCATTGTGTCAGCCCTGCCGTTGGAGTCCACGAGATTGCCGTTCATCTTCTGTAGTCGGCCCTGATATCTGCGCGAAGCTCCATGCCGCAAGCGCTTCATAGCAGACCAACCATTAACCACCAAGTCCCTCTCTAGACATTCTGCTCGGTCTTGTTTGGCAGCGGATTTGCTTTGCTTGTTCAGGGAAGCTTCTCGCATGAATTGCCCCTCAGCCCGGGCAGCGCTCCGCTGCTCGATGAGGTCAAGGGTGGTTGGTCGAATACATGACCGTTTTGCGACAACGGGTCTTATTGGAATTGCGCTCTCCGCAGCGGCCTCCATGGCAGCTCTGACCGCCTTCGCCATCGAATCGACATGCTGGTCTGAAGCGCCGCGCAGAAGGTCCCGAGCACTCTCCGAGAAATGTGTGCAGAACTGTTCGGCGATAGAATGTAACTTCAAACTCTGAATGTCGCGTATTTCTTTCCGCGTATTGGACGGTTTTTTCTTGATCTCAACAGCGGTGTCCACGATAATAAGGAAATGGTGATATTGCACTGCGATGTCTCTTCTGCTCCGTATGCGGCGCACAGATTTTTGCCAGTTTCTCTTCACCATAGTATGATCGAGTTTGGCAAACTTGCTCGCAGTGATCTCATCGAACGGGCGAGCGGTGAGGTCGTATTAGGTGATTTGTTCGTGTACGGGTCGCTCGAAGAACGTGTTCGCCACCACCATGTGCATAGACCTACATGTCTCTATTAGTAGTTCCCGGTTGCTCGATGCATCGAGCTCTGCAGATGTATTGCCGAACACGTGCGGTCCGAGTACGTTATCTTCTTCAGCGCATCTCTTGTGTAACCTGCTGTTCATATCACCGAGAACGCTAATTGGCCCATGTGCCTTCGATTTCTGGGCTGCCCCTTCAAGCTCGGTGACGCATGCGGGCGTGTGCCGAATTGGGTGTGTGACGCATGCGGGCGGTGGCACTGGCGCCATCGGTGGAGCTCCCTGAGGGGCCACGAAACGTGTGAGGGGCGTGCCGAAATGGGCGTGCGTAACGCATGCAGGCGGTGGCACTGGCGCCATCGGTCGAGCTCCTTGTGGGGCCACGAAACGTATGAGGAATGTGCCGAAATGGGTGTGCGTGACGCATGCGGGCGGTGGCACTGGCGCCTTCGGTGGAGCTCTTTGTGGGGCCACGAAACGTATGAGGGGTGTGCCGAAACGGGGGGGCGTGACCCTTGCGGTCGGTGGCACTGGCGCCTTCGGTGGAGCTCTTTATGGGGCCACGGAACGTGTGAGGGGTGTGACAGGATGGGTACGTGGCGCATGCGGGCGGTGGCATTCGGGCCTTCGGTGGAGCGCCACGAAATGTGTAAGGGGTGTGCCGAAATGGGTGTGCGTGACGCATGCGGGCGGAGGCACTGGGGCCTTCGGTGGAGCTCCCCGGGAGCGCCACGAAACGTGTAAGGGGTGTGCCGAAATGGGTGTGCGTGACGCATGCGGGCGGAGCTCCCTGTGGGGCCATTAATCGTGTGAGGGGTGTGCCAGAATGGGTGTGCGTGATGCATGCGGGCGGTGGCACTGGCGCCATCGGTGGAGCTCCTTGTGGGGCCACGAAACGCGTGAGGGGTGTGCCAGAATGGGTGTGCGTGACGCATGCGGGCGGTGGCACTGAGGTTTCCGGTGGAGCGCCACGAAACGTGTGAGGGGTGTGCCGAAATGGGTGTGCGTGACGCATGCGGGCGGTGGCACTGGGGCCTTTGGTGGCGCTCCTTTTGGGGCCACGGAACGTGTGAAGAGTGTGCCGAAATGGGTGTGCGTGACGCATGCGGGCGGTGGCATTGGGGCCTTCGGTTGAGCTCCTAGTGGGGCCACGAAACGTGTGAGGTGTGTGCCGGAATGGGTCTGCGTGGCGCATGCGGTCGGAGGCACTGGGGCTTTCTGTGGGGTTTCTTCGGGGCCACGAAACAGGTGAGGGGTGATGGTGATGATGATGGCACTGATGGTGACGATGGTGGCGATGAGGGCGGTCGTGATGAGGATGATGATGGTGATGACGTTGGTGATGACGGCGACGATATTGATGATGATCATGATGATGACGGGAGGAGGGAGGAAGAGGAGTTAGGGAGGAGGGAGGAGGGAGGAGGGAGGAGGGGGAGGAAGAGGAGTTAGGGACGCGGGGCGCTGGTTCTTCAAGACGAGGACGCAACACCACAGGATGGCCGGGAGCAAACCAGGGCGAGGAGCAGCTGCGGGAGCGCGAGGGCGGAGGAATGGGGGAGCCGTGAGGGTGCAGAAAAGGTTGGCAGGAATGAGAAACGTGGAGGGGGATGTAAATTTGGAGGGAGGAGCGGAGACTGAGGGAGCGGAGAGGTCGAGGGAGGAGGGAAGACGAGAGGCGGAGGAAGAGCAGTAGCAGGAGCACCAGCAGGAGCGGTTGCAGGAGGAGGAGGAGGAGGAGGAGGAGGACGAGGAGGAGGAGGAGAGGAGGGAACGGGGAGGAACCTTTGGTGGCTTGGCCCAGAGAGGAGAGATCGAGGGACAGAGCGCCGAGGAGGCGGAGGGGATGCAGCACCTGCACGAGACAGGAGGGATGCTGGGCTGCTCGGCAGAGCACCGCCTCGCTGCCGAGGTTCCGCCCCCCGGGCCCCGACGGGACGTGGGCCAAGCTGCTCAGCACGGGCAGGCCGCGGATCGTGCCGGAGCCCCCCCCCCTCCCCTCCTCCCCTCCTTCTCTTCCCCCTCCTCCTCCTCCTCCTCCTCCTCCTCCTCCTCCTCCTCCTCCTCCTCCTCCTCCTCCTCCTCCTCCCCCTGTGGTCAGCCCTCGGGGCCGTCTGGTTCATTTGAGGTGGAAGGCATCTGCAGTTGAAAATCCTCCTCCTCCTCCTCCTCCTTCTCCTCCTGCCCCCCCCTCGCGCTCGGCCACATGCCGCACCTCACAAGAGTGCAGGGTACGGATACTGCTACCCGTCCCTCGTCGCCGCGGCTGGATTATTCGCCTCGAAGGCCAGGTCCGAACGTGCCGCCCCAGGAGAGATCCGCGGGCAGTCGGTATCGCTATCTGTTCCCCCAGCACCGGGATTTCCTCATTCCTCTCGCCTTGCGCGCATCCACCATATTGCCACCCCCTCTTCGTCCGATCCAAACCTGGTGGGTCTCCTTGACGATCTTCTCCCCCATTCGCTCAAAGAACGATGAGGACAAAAGCAACAAAAATCCTGGAGGCCCGCGCTGATTTCTTGGATCGGTTCTGGGGCCCCCCTTTCTGGCGCGCGGAGCGCGCCAGGGGTGGCGCCGGAGGAGCCGCCAAGAGGGTCCCAGCGCCGATCCAGGAAATCCGCGCGGAGCTCCGAAAGTTGATGTTTATGCTTAATGTTGTTTCTGGCTTTCTATTCGACAGCCGTGACGATCTTCCTCTTCTTCTCATCACTCTCTTCCTCCTCCTCCTCCTACTCCTCCTTCTCTTCTCCAACCTTTTATCTGTCTCGCATTGCATGTGTCCATACACGCCAGGATCCAGAGTCCAGGGCCTCACCCATCTAGTCGGAGCTAATCCCGGGCCCTTGTCCGCGGCGGTGGTCATTTGTTCTTTCGTCCCCCCCCCCCTTCGCCGTCTTTCCTCGCCCCCACAGGAGTGGCGCCGCCCGCTGGTCTTCTGCCACGGGGTCGGCGTCGGCCCGACCATGTGCCTGTCGTTCCTGCAGCCCCTGGCGCGGGTGCTCGGGCAGGACGCCCTCGTCCTCGTCCTATTCCTCCTCCTCCCCCTCTTCCTCCTCCTCCTCCTCGTCGACACGAGGCGCAGCATCACGCCCTCACATGCAGCCTACCTCCGCCACTCGCGTTCATGCTGCAGCATCGCTTGTGCGCACCAGCCTGCACAGCTGACAGGATTGGATCAGACAGTTCACATATCCAGCATGCGGCCCCATTCGTCGAGTAAAAAGAGCTTCCTCCTCCTCCTTTTACCTCTAACCTGGCTCCGAAGGAAGGGTCTATTGAGGGCCTCCGAGAGTGAGAGGGAAAAACCTGAGGCTGACTCCATCCAAGGAGGTTTTTGTCGCCGCCAACGGGGGTTCCGTTACTCCGCCAGCGATCCGACAGGAACCGACCCCGGGAAATTCCCCCCTTGATCAGGTCATACCTGGAGGTCGGGTGAAAACTTACCCGCAGAAAGGTGGGCCTCCTCCTCTTCCTCTTCCTCCTCCTCCCCCTCGTCTCGGCGTCACCCAAACATACTTATACTAGATGTGCGTCGCCCCCCAGGGGCGACGCGCGCACCGAGAAATCTGATAATATATGCGTCGTGTCGGGCGCTTTCTGGCCACACCGCTCGGGAAATGATATGCTACAAGATGGCTATATGTTCGGGTCGGACGCGCGCCTCCGAGGGGGACACATCGGAGGTGAGGGGGCTCGTGCGTGCCCTGCGTTCGGGCGAGGCGAAGCTGCGTGGGCGGGCGAGAAGAAAGTCTCCTCCGGCTGAGGCGCGGCCGAACCAGGCCCGGACCGGAACCTCGAACCGGGGCAGCAGCTGGGAGGGGGGCGGAAGGGAGGGCGGAGGGCGGCGGAGGAGGAGGAGGAGGAGGAGGTGGAGGAGGAGGAGAATGATTCCTTTCCGGGGGCCGGTGGCCCGCGGTGTCCCGTCGGTGTCCCGCCTCTCGGGTCGGGCGAAAGGGGGGATTGGGGAAGGGGGGGTTTACGAAATTTGCTGCATGCAGCTGGTTTCGGCCCCACCGAGGGGCCCATTCGTACATAGCCGCCTCCGGCGCCGGGCGGCGGGGAATCACTACGTGAGCTGATTCTTAACCCCCCCTTTGCTACCCCCCCTCCGCCCGGACCGAGGCCTCCGGCTGCGGCGCGGCCGGACCAAATGATTCTTTTCAGGGGGCCGGTGGCCCGTGGTGTCCCGCCGGTGTCCCGCAGGTGTCCCGTCGGTGTCCCGATGATGATGATGATAATGATAATGATGATGATGATGATGATGATGATGATGATGATGATGATGATGCTGATGCTGATGCTGATGCTGATGCTGATGCTGATGCTGATGCTGATGCCGATGCTGAGCTGATGCTGTGCTGATGCTGATGATGATGATGATGATGCTGAGATTGATGATGATGATGATGATGGTGGTGATGATGATGGTGTCCCGATGATGATGATGATGATGATGATGATGATGATGATGATGATGATGATGATGATCTTGACGATGTTGATGATGATCATGATGGTGGTGATGATGATGGTGTCCCGATGATGATGATGATGATGATGATGATGATGATGATGATGATGATGATCTTGACGATGTTGATGATGATTGTGATGGTGGTGATGATGATGGTGTCCCGATGATGATGATGATGATGATGATGATGATGATGATGATGATGATGATGATGATGATGATAATGGTGTCCTGGTGATGATGATGATGATGATGATGATGATGATGTTGATGATCCTGGTGATGTCGATGATGATGAGATGATGATGCTGATGCTGATGATGATGGTGTCCCGATGATGATGATGATGATGATGATGATGATGATGATGATGATGATGAGGTTGATGATGATGATGATAACGGTGATTATGACGATGGTGTCCCGATGATGATGCTGTGGATGATGATGACGATGACGGTGTCCCGACGATGATGACGATGTTGATGATGAGGATGATGAAGAGGTGATGATGCTGATTTTGATGATGGTGGCCCGATGATGGTGATGATGAGGATGCTGATGTTGATCATGATGATGATGGTGTCCCGATGATGATGATGGTGATCATGATGATGATGACGACTATGATGATGGTGTCCCGATGATGATGGTGGTGATGATGATGGTGATGTTGATGATGATGGTGTCCCGATGATGATGATGATGATGATGATGATGATGATGATGATCATGATCATGATGATGATCATGATGATGTTGGTGATGCTGTTCATGGTGATGATGAGATGATGATCATGGTGATGCTGCTGATGATGATGGTGATGTTGATGCTGGTACCCCGATGATGCTGATGATGATGATGATTATGATGATGATGATGATGATGATGATGATGATGAGGTTGCTGATGATGGTGACGATGATGGTGTCCCGATGATGATGATGGTGGTGATGATGATGATGTTGATGATGATGGTGTCCCGCTGATGATGATGATGATGATGATGATGATGATGATGATGCTGATGATGCTGATGACGTTGATGACGATGCTGTTCATGATAATGATGATGACGTTGATTGTGAGATCGACCATGATATCGATAGTGAGATCGATAGTGAGACCGAATGTGAGATCGATTGTGAGATCGATAGGGAGATTAGTAGTGAGATCGATTGCGAGATCGATAGTCATATCGATTGTGAGATCGATCGAATCAAATAGATCGAGTGAGATCGATTGTGAGATCGATCGAGTCAGATCGATCGAGCGAGACTGATAGTGAGATCGATAGTGAGATCGATAGTGAGACCGATCGAGTGAGACGTTGGTTCCTCCCCCCCCCGAACCTCCTTATCACCCGAAGGGTGGTCGTGTAGGTAGTATTAGTATGTCCCTGTGCCTCCCATCCTCCTCCTGGAGGTCATGCCTGGAGGTCGGCTGAAAACTTGCCCGCAGAAGGGTGGGCCTCCTCCTCCTCCTCCTCCCTTCCCTTTTTCCCCGCCCCCCCGTCGTGCCGTGGACAACAGAACACGGCGGGAGCTTTTCTATTCACCGCTCTCGCCCCCCCCCCCCGGGGGGCCGTCGCCCGGCTCCCCGGGGCCGTCAACAAGACGCGGTGCGGGGTGGAACATTCGGCCGCGGGGAAACGGTCGAGAGCTCTCGGGGTCCACGTCGGGAAGCAAGTCTCGACGTCGGGGTCTGGCTTCTCCTTTTTCGTCGAGCTTTCCAATCTTGTGTTGGGAGTTCTTAGGATTGCCATCTTTGTATGGTTCACTATTCGTTTTCGTGCGATTGTTTGTTGTTGTTGTTGTTGTTGTTGTTGTTGTTGTTGTTGTTGTTGTTGTTCCTCGTTATCCTCTTCCTCCTCCTCTCTTCCTCCTCCTCCTCCTGCCTTTCTTCAGTAATGCGAATCTCCTTACATGGTTTCTTCTTCAGCAGGTAGCACGGCGCTGCCAATCAGGAGCCAACGCTTTGGATCGCAATCGCCCCGTTCTTTTCTTTTCCGTTCATCCTCACCTTCAGGCCAGGATTGTTGCGGTGGTCGTTTGACGTTCTCCGATGTTCTTCTCCCCTCTCTCCTCAAGATCGCTCGCTCTAGGCCTGGCAACCCGTGCTGACAGAGTCGGCCGTTGATGCTGTTGGCCCCTTGGTGGCATGCTCATCGATTTCCAGGGCGGTTCCTCGATCTCGCGCGTGCGCACTCTGTCTCTCACCACCCACCAAACCACCCCAACCCAACCCGAAGGCTCAGATTTACCCTCGATTTCCAGTGGTGGGGGGGTCGGGGAACATCGAAAAAACACGCGTGGAACCCTTACCCCCCCCAACCCGAAATTCGGGTCTTCGGGTTGGGTTGGGGTGGTCTGGTAGGTAGTCAGTCTCTCTCCTCTCTCTCTGTCCTCTTTCCCCTCTCTCTCTCTCTCCTCCTCTCTCCCTTCCTCTCTCTCCTCCTCTCTCCTCCTCTCTCTCTCTCTCTGTCTCTCTCTCTCTCTCTCTCTCTCCTCTTTCCCCCCGTCCTCGTGCCCTGTCGCTCGTGGGGGCGGGGGGGAGGCCACCACCCAGCAGACCGCCCCCCACACAGCCCGAAGGCCTCCATGTGCGATCCATTTCCAGCAGGGGGGGGGGGATCGGGGAATATCGAAAAGCACAATTCGAAGGCCTCCAGGTGCGATCCACTTCCAGTAGGGGGAGGGGATCGGGGAATATCGAAAAGCACAACTCGAGCCTATACCCCCCTCCAACCCGAAATGCGATCCATTTCCAGTAGGGGGGGGGATCGGGGAATATCGAAAAGCACAGATCGAGCCCATACCCCCCTCCAACCCGAAGTTCGGGTCTTCAGGGTCGGTTGGGGTGGTCTGGTAGGTCGTCAGGAGGACGGAGGAGGGAGGAGGGGTTACGAGGGAGGATCGGCGGCGGCTCGAACACAGGTGCGATTTCGAAGTGATGCTACACGATTCCGGGTAACGGATGATAGCCCAGTGATAATGTTGTGCGAGTTTGGCTTGGATGCGTGACGAGCCAGGACTACCCCATCTTCCTGGTCGACAGCGCCGCTGTGTCCATGCGGTTCTCTGAGGACATCCCGCCTATCCCGTGTGCGCTTCATCCTCATGTTTCTTCTCCTCCCGTCTTTCCGTTGCTCCATCCCGTCCCGTCATGTTATCCTGTTCTTTCTGCTCATCCTGCTACTCTTGCTCTGCAGCTCTTCCCTCTTTTTTTCATCCTGTCTCTCCTATTAAATTCGATGTTCATTGAAAGTGCCCATGCAGACAACCCTATGAACAAAACACGGCTCAGCACCTCTCACCCTTCAGGGGTACATCGATGTTGGTGTGCTGAATATGTCTGAACTTGGTCAGCAGCTGGGGGTCATCCCACTTCGCGCCCCAGGTCGAATCTACAAATGTTCTACCGTTTCTCTTGTATCTCCTGATCCGTCATCCCTTCTTCGTTCCCTCCCGTCAGCTCCTCGATCCCCAGGCAGCCGATATTATGGTTTTGGTTCTCTCACATCGTGGCCCCACAGAAGTCTGGAGTCTGAGCCCTCTCCCGGGGACATGTTTCGCACCCCGAGCAGTCGTTGACGGCCTCTGGGGCCCAACAAGGGTTCCCAGAGGCCGAGAAGGGCCAACAACCGTTCGTCGTGGGCCAAGGGGGAGGAGGAGGAGGAGGAGGAGGAGGAGGAGGAGGAGGAGGAGGAGGAGGAGGAGGAGGAGGAGGAGGAGGAGGAGGAGGAGGAGGGAGGAGGAGAGAGGAGGGAGGAGGAGAGAGGAGGGAGGTGTCAGTTTCCTTCGAAAAGTGCCCAAGAGCACTGCCCACGGGAGTCTGTTGGCATGTTTTTCTCTAACGCGATGGTATCTGGGTCCCTCCGCTCCTGCTCGTGCTTCTGCCGACCGCCGGCAGGGCGGCCCCGCGGGCATCCCGGAGGCCGCTGGCAGCAGAGGCCAGGCCTCTGGGCCCGAGGGGCGGGCTTCCCTTCCTGCGTACAGCCCGCCCCGAGAAGGCGCACCAGTCCACCGCTCCTGCCTGGAGGGTTTCTCCGAAGGGCCGAAGGGCTTAGGCGACCCGTCCTCCTCCTCCTCCTCCTCCTCCTCCTCCTCCTCCTCTCCTCCTTCTCCTCCCTCCTCCTCCCTCCTCCTCCTCCTCCTCTCCTCCTCCTCCTCCTCCCTCCTCCTTCCTCCTCCTCCCTCCTCCCTCTCCCTCCTCCTACTCCTCCTCCCTCCCTCCTCCTCCTCCTCCTCCTTCTCCTCCTCCTCATCCTCCTCCTCCTCCTCCTCCTCCTCCTCCCTCCTCCTCCTCCTTCCTCCTCTCCTCTCCTCCTCCTCCTCCTCCTCCTCCTCCTCCTCCCTCCTCCTCCTCCTCCTCCTCCTCCTCCTCCTCCTCCTCCCCCTCTCCTCCCTCCTCCTCCTCCCTCCCCTCCCTCCTCCCTCCTCCCTCCTCCCTCCTCCTCCTCCCTCCTCCCTCCCCCCCTCTCCTCGTTCTCCTCCTCTCCTCCTCCTCCTCCTCCTCCTCCTCCTCCTCCTCTCCTCCTCCCCCTCCTCTTCTCCTCTTCCCTCCTCCCTCCTGACTCCTCCTCCTCCCTCCCTCCCTCATCCCTCCTCCCTCCTCCCCTCCTCCTCCTCCTCCTCCCTTCCTCCTCCTCCTCCTCCTCCATCTCCTCCATCTCCTCCTCGCCCTCCCCCTCCCCCACCTCTTCTCCTCCTCCTCCTCCTCCTCCTCCTCCTCCTCCTCGTCCGCCTCCTCGTCCTTCTCCTCCTCCTCGTCCTCATCCTCCTTCTCGGGTCGCCTACGGCCACGGGGGAAACCGTGCACTCCTGGCAGATGCTCCCAGGGAGAATTCGTCAGGGGCAACGATAGGGGGGAATGGGCATAGGGTGCATCGACCCCCGATCGCCCAGTGGTCTCTGATAGGGGCCCGATAGCCCCAACCTGCCCAGGAACGATTCTCGATCGGGGGCCTATCGCCGGTCTAGCGGCGACGTACCGCCGATTCCAGGTCGATGTTCCCCCCGTAATTATGCCAGTCCCCTTATCGTTGCCCGTCAATGCAGGATGGGGATCACAGCAACTGGCACACCGCAATAAGGGAAGGTGTCGACGCGGCCGTGGGTGCGAGTCACCAAGCCCATACGCCAGGCGCTTGAGCTGTCGTTGAAGGGAGAGGGGAGGAGGAGGAGGAGGAGGAGGAGGAGGAGGAGGAGGAGGAGGTGGAGGAGGAGGAGGAGGAGGAGGAGGAGGAGACACAACCTAAGATTGACTCTAGAAGACTCCTAATCATCTAGCGACCTTCGGCCCATTCCACCACTGTGTTTGGGTTGTGGACATGGCGCCTATTGGGTGTTCGTTGGGATCTCCTGGGAGGCCTCTCGGCGGCCTCTTCCAGCCAGGTTTGATGCCTCTTGAGGGCCGTTGTGGGGCCTCTGGGGGCCTTTTTGGGGCATCTTGGGGCCTCATTGGGCCTTTGGGGGGCCTCATTGGGCCTTTGGGGGGCCTCAGGGGCGCCTCTTGGGGCCTCCTGGCGCCGTCTTGGGGCGAAAGGCTTGGATTTTCGGCTCGTGTTCCCTCTCTTGGGTTCCTTTTCGGGCAGTCTTGGGGTCCTCTTGGGCCGTATTGCGCCTCTTGGGCCCTCTCGGGGCGCTCTTAGGCCGTCTTGGGGCCCTCTTGTAGGCCTGTTAGGCCGTCTTGGGGTGGTTCTGGGCCGTCTTGAAGCGTCGGAAAGCATAAACGGCGAGAACGCCCAAATCCTTCAAAGCCCTACGGGCAATCAGTGTTTTGTGCCTCTTGGGGCCATCTTAGTTGGCCTCTTGGAGGCCTCTTCGGGCGTCTTGGAGTCCTCTTGGGCCATCTTGAGGCCATCTTGGGCCTCTTGGAACGATCTTTCGGCGACTCGGGGCCCTCTGGGAACGTCTTGGGGGCCTCGTTGGGCCCTCTTGGCATGTTTTTGGGCCCTCTTGGGCCCGAGCAGTTCCTGCGACAAGCCGGGGGGGGGCCCAGAGGGCGCGTGGGAAGCCCCAAGAGATTTCGGAAGTTGGGGTCCAGGCCCCTAAGAGACTCCTCAGGACTGCGGACAGAGGACTGAGGCTCCAGGAAGTACAGTCGGGGCCCTGAAGAAGGAACCCTTTTCGTTGGGGAGGGGCTCCGCGTTCCTTAAGTGTTTCACAGCTTGCCTTAGGTTTTCCTTATGGCTTTGACCGGAAATCGAAGTTTAACTTATGGGAAAAGGGGCCTCGTTCCTTTAGGGTTCCTTAGGTCATCGCCTCGACTGTAGGACAAGTCCGTGCTCAGAGGCACTGTGGCGGGCGGTTGGCGGCCATTCGTTGCATTCGTCGCTGTGGGGGGGAGGATCATCCACTCAACCTCCTCCTTATCCTCCCTTCTCCCTCCCTGTCGCGGGTTTTCCTTCCCACTGCCTTCACTCATCGCCCCCCCTCCTCATCTCAGCCGCCCCAGTCCGTCCTCTTGCTCGTCCTCCCCCTCCCCCTCCTCCTTCCCGTCCTCCTCCTCCCCCTCCCCCTCCCCCATTATCCTCCCCCTCCCCTCCAGCTCCTCCTTCTCCTCTCCTCCTCTTCCTCCTCCTCTTCGTCCTCGTCCTCGTCGTCGTCGTCCTCCTCCTCCTCCTCGCTCCTCGCCGTAACCAATTTTGCTCAAGGGGCCTGTTCGTAAACTTCCAATCTCTCTCGAGGCGCCTGGTGGCCAGGCACCAAGGGCGACCCGCGGCCGCGCCCCATGAACCTCGGCGGCCGCGTTTCTTCGCTCCTGTTTCCGTCCCCCCTTTCGCCATGGAGGCGATGCGCCAAACCGTGCCGTGGACAGGGAAATTCCAGATACTCACTAGTCTTGTTGCGAGCGAGGGGGGTGAGGGTCATTCAGCCTCTCTCGTGCAGTGTGGGCTCGCTCGCAAAGCACTCGGATCGAGGTATCAGTGTGTTTAACGAACAGGCTTCGGGAATCCAGGGCCAGATGGTGCAGGTTGAGAAGATTTTTTGGAGACTACAGCTCATGCAGATGTCGCCAAACTGATTAGTTTTACTTTCTTGAACATGTGTAACATCCAGGAATCGGCCCTCTTGCAGGCCATTCGGGATCGTGAGACTGCTGAGCAGGAGGTGGGCAAGGAGGTGATGGGGTCAATGCGCACGATGGTGCAGGCCTGGCCGGTGGCAACACCTGCGAAGCTCCACCTCTCACCTCACTGCGCGGTGCCCTGAATGCGCACGCGTCCCTGGGGGGGGGGGGGGGGGGGGGGGGCATACCGACTCATGGTGCAGGCGGTGTCCCCGAGGAGGTGGGAATGCAGATCGGCTTTTTGGTACGATCATCTTTCCCTCAGGTTGTCCGCCGTTTTTGCTTTGCCCTCTGGGCCATGTGACCGTCATCGGCAGTCTCCGTGGGAAGCTAAATTGGCGAAGTTGCATACCTGGGCAGCTCCCCGTCCTGCGTCGGTGGCGACCACATAGGTCAACGCGCCGATTTTATGGTGCCCGGCGCGGAAGCAACATGTCGATTATCCCCCCATTGTCAAGGCGGTATAATATACATACTGTTCTCTATTCATCCATCGTCCTCTTGCTTCCTGTAACCATAGATTGCTTCTCTGTCCCCCATTCATGCGTCCATCCCTCACTTATCTTTTCTATTCTTCGCTTCTACAAGTGCGCGTTGTCACCGTGCCCGCATTTATTTTGGAGCGCGTTGTGCGGAATGCTGCGCGTTACCGAACAGGCCATCGTTCGACGCATCGACGGATCTGCAGCGCGGACAACGCTTACGGGACATAATTTCTGTGATCGTTTTACGGACTCCCAGCGGCCTGGCAGAGTTGCGCGATGCATTGGCCCAGACTGGCCAGCAGGCTACCCGACTGTTTACGTTTTCGCCCCCACAGGCGGCGGACCTCATTCAGGACGCACGCGTCGCCTCTCACAGGCTCGAAAAGAGACTCGATGATCAGGGGTGGTGAACAGGCGCGGGTTGAGGACTTCCATGCCCGCTTGGACCGCGCGCGAGTCGCCCGTTGCCCGGCAACCAGGGGCCATCTTCTTGCGCGCGCAGACGATCTCACGACTGAGAGCAGGA